ATTGGATTGTTCGAAATGTTATATTGCTTGAATGCACCACACACACACACACACACACACACACACACACACACACACACACACACACATATTGTTCAGGTAATCCCTCATCTTCTAATTACGTTATCGAAACTCTCATATTTGCCAGCATAATTAAATGCAAAGGCCGAAGTAGATTATAATAGTGTCGGCGCTTGTTTAGTACCTTCTTATAATATAAACTACGTGCCATATAATTTTGGACGCATGCATACGGCTAAGTTGGATTTCACTAAATTACACCAACGATGACACCGCGGTGATATTTGACTGTATATCAAGAGTCAAGTTCACTGTATACTACAGTTCGCTCTTTTTAACTTTATCTCTTTGGAAAATGGCGGCATTCAAATTCTATGACAAGAAATGCTCCTAGTGCTTTCGTACTAAAGGTCGTATGCTGTAGTATCACAGTATTAGTAACGTAGAAGTCAAGCGTAGGGTTTTAGAGAGGAGAGGAAAGTCAGTTGGTAATGTGGTGAACATTTAAACACACAGGTGGCTAGGATCTGTGTTGTATATCCTTAATCACCTTATAAGCCTCATAGTACAATGTTGGCTGAAGTAGTTTTAGGTTGGAGAAAAGTGTGTGATGGTCAAACTAAAATATACCATCACAGTAGGAGGTCTTTGACCGCTAGTCTTACTCATATACAGAAATGTACACCTCTTAATTAGGATCCAGGTGACAACAGAAACCAGTGGTTGAAGACTCTAGGTGACATGCCACAGAATCGATCAAGTGGTGCAGCTAAATCTATAACATTATCTTCAACTTAATCGTCATACTGAATTCAGTATTCCTTCTTCTCCTTCCTCTTTTTTACTGCTTTCGAGATGATCCTTCCTTATTTCTTCATCTTTCATTTAAGTGCTTTTTCACTTGCCTTAGAGATATGAGATGTGGCTATTTGGACAGCTACGCAATAATCCCTGGCCCTATGTTGACATTGATGATGTCAAATAATTTCGGTGAACTGAACTGTCTTTATTAACTGACTAATACAACTTGTATCCTTTTCATATATTCTTTGGATAATTTGCCTCTTCAATTACTATTCATTATTAACGCTGGTGGAAGGATTCGAGATTATATCTTAATGTGTCTTGCTAACTAGCTTAACAGTATGATATGGTTCCTTACAATAACCCCTTTACTTATTTCATCCTAGCTGAAATGAAGGAAAATGAAGAATAAACTATGGCGCCTCATCTGGAGGTCTTTTTTATTCACAGTTACCAATTACAAAAGACTCAAAAGTATTGATGGTTAGAAGCTACGGTTAGCATCATTAAATTGTTGATAAAAAAACAGACAATTAGTATCTATCTCACCATAAATCTTATCAACTTTACTACTTAGATGATAACTGCGCTATATTACGAATTGATAGAAGTAGGAAACTATAAAGTGGATGGTTAACACGCATTCGCCATGAAACCTGAAGGTTCTGAGTTCGATTCCTGGTGAGGTGGGGTCGTAGGTCCATGTTGCTGAGGAGTCCCATGCTAAGATAAAACAGCTAACTATTCAGTGCTTTCCAATGCTTCTCCAACTGATATCAGTCTGTCGTGATGAATACTACCTTAAGAAATGAAATTCTTATTACCCTCGAAATACACTACAGTTTACTAACTGAATGACGAGTATGTCTACCTTTGGTACTTATGCATCAGTAGTGTATATCATATTCTTAACGATTTTTACTTGAAATGCTGTCCTAAGATGAAGCAACGCAACGTTATAGCTAAATGTAATGACTCATATCATTTTACTTCATTTACGTAATCGGAACTCACTAGAATTGTAGCTTATGAGTATTATACACAACAAACACTTTCAACTAATAGATTAAAAGTTTAAACCTCATTGCATCGAATAATAACAGTTGGGTAACCAAGTTGCATTACTACTATTGAACAACTCGAGTAGCTGGAAATCACTCAGGGTTGATTTGTTGCATTTTGCCAATGACCTAAACACTGGACGGCTGTTTCGTTCGTTTGAGGATAAGCAAGCTCATCAGCAGTGTACTCGAACAAATTCAGCTCATACAAACCAAATAGTTCAGATCACCTGAATCTAGTTGGCTAGTTAACTTCCATACAAATCACTTACAAATTACACTGCCCACGTTAACTTTGTATTAAAGGATGAGAACACTGAGCTATAATTCGTTTATCCTGTTGTACGGCTGCAAGATATGATCGTTAAAAGTAAAGTACAAGTTTCTGACCATAGGTTTATTCATAGCAAGGCTCATGGTTGATGAAATCACCATGCGAACAATTTTGAGGTTAGCTGAAGGGCACTAGGCAACATAGACCACTCAACTGATGAAGTTGTGAACCTACATCGACTGAGATGCCTTCGACAAGTACTACGTATGCCGAGTCACCACCTAACTCGATGTGCAACATTACAGGAAGTTAAATTATGTTGAAAGAGGGCTTAGGGTGGGGAGACCAGACCGTGGCACTAGTCGATAAAGTTCCTAACTGGTGATCTGAGCTGTGTGAGGATGTAGACTACCTGGCTGGGATTAACCGCACAACTGTGGTGTTAACAAGGTTTCGCTGGTTCATAACACTTCCGAGTCGGAGATCACACCTTGTGATCCTGGTTGAAGCGTAGTTTGTAGTGGAAACCTTATTGGCTGGAGTCACCGTTGGGCAGCTGAGAAACTACTCAGCTGTGATCATCCTATTTAAAGTTGCATTACTATTTGTCATATAATGGGGATGTTAGATAGCTTACAGAACAGCGCAGAGTTTTCTAGAAATGTTTACCAAGTGAATTATCCATTTCTGCTCCGTCTAACAATAGCCAGTGAAGTGGTTTTGTGTGTTGGTCGCTTCATTTACTTAGGAAAGCCAGATCACGGTCATGGTTCGATGGCTAATGAAATTCCTACTAGATTGGCTTTCAGTATCTTGGACTAAAAAAAGAGTTGAGTGTATTGCTATGAAGTTCGCCCTCTTTTATTATATGGCTGTGAAACATAGGAAGGGATGAAAAGGCTTACGGTTTTTGACCACTGTTGGCCTTCTCAGCTATAGACCATGTATCGTGGTTTCACCACGTCAGTAATGCAGAAGTCAAGTGTAGACTGTTAGGGAAGAGAGGAAAGTCAGTTGACTGGAATGGTTAGGACATGTGTTACGCATACCTGGTCACTATCTGCCCCGTCGTACAATTTCGGCTAAAGCTCATGCTGGAAAAAGGCTCGGAGCGGCAAGACTAAAGCATAGCATTAGTCACTGAAGTCTTTGATCACTGGTTCGAGTTGTGTAGGGGGATGTAGACTTTCCAGTTAGCATCCGCGTGACAGCAGAAACCAGTGCCTGGTGATATAGTTCAGTGAAAAGTTTGCATATTCGGAACAAATAACTTCACAGCCGAAAGAAACGTATATTCTTCAAGAATCGAAAGCGCTTTAAAAGTGGCTAAAAATTGAATCATTCACACCCCCAGAAAAACAACAATAAAGCAGAAACTAAAAAGAAAACACACAAGTAAACAAAATAAGAAGTTAAATAATCACTACCGTTGATTTGCAAATCTCATTATTCAACGTGATCTAAACACTGGACACGAGTGTTCCAGTCATTTGGAACTAGTGTAACCGAACACATTTAGCTGACACAGTCAAATTATGTAGATCCATTGGATAGGCTGGTTGCATTATAAACTGGATGATTATTTGGTTTCCAAAGGAAACCCTGTATGAACAGACTAAAGTATGCAGTCAATCCACAAAGTCTTTAATCATCAGTCCAGATTGTATACAGAAAACTAGACCGGGTGGTTGGCATCATCAAGACACCTGGAGTAAGTGATATGACTTATGACTAGCTACAGTGAGTGTTAGGGATACCTTATTTTGGTAGATGCTTGCTTGGAATGGCCAGAAATCGCACTTACCAACCCGCCGAATACCACGAGAATGTTAAAAGCCCTCTCCAATATCTTCTGTTGCTACGGCTTTCCAGAAACTATCGTCTCGGACAACAGCTCCCAGTTCACCTCTACGAAATTTAAAGATTTCTGTCATCAACATGCCACACAACATGTTCTATCACCACCATACCACCCTCAGTTCAATGGACAAGCGGAGCGTTTCATCGATACATTCAAAAGAGCTTTACTGAAAGCATAAGGGAAGGTATGTCACTGGAACAACAGAAACCGACTCACTCCCAGATCACCAGAGTTCATCAGAAGCACTAATGGGAAGAAAGTTACGTACGTCCCATGATGGTCTAATTCCAAAAGAACGGCCAAGAACGTTAACAGAACGTCAAAAGTATTTCGAGATCGAAAAACCAGTATTCGCCAGAGATTACAGACCGGAACATAAAAATGGATTAAAGGAGTAATTATCAGTAGACGCAGCTGCGTATTATATAATGTCACAATGGGAACAGAAACTTGGACGCGACATAAAAACCAACTACGATACCGAGACAGTAGAAGAAACAAAACCCAGCGGCACCTCACTAGAAAACCTACTGGATATGTTCGAGATACTATATATTCCCTTTATTTAGTCGAATCGTGCACCAGACAGTCAGATATACCTATTGAGTATGAGAGATAATGATACTACCTATCTGGCTACCCAAACCTTGATAGGTGGTAGCGGGTCTCAAACCCATGACCCATCGGTTGAAAGTCATCTCCCGCACAGCTCCTCCATTTGTCTTATAATAGTCATAGGCTATCATAAAAATCAATAAAAACAAGCCCTCATACATTCGATTTAGATAGAGGTGTGACAAGTTGGCATGATCTATACTTGCAACAAACGTCTAGAATATCCCTTAATCTTGCGATTCATGTGTCAATCAATTTCTAGTTGTTAATGAATGAAATTTTAAAAAACCGCCTTTCAATAATAAAATAATAATGATAATACATTAAAACAACAACAAAAGTAGTAAAATATTGAACAACTTACTTATAAACTATCTGAAACGCACAGGAATCACGTTCAATTGATGCTACCATCTTAAAGGTATTTACATGAGAATTTGGTGCATTTATATCGTTGACAAGCGCCAAAATTGTATTCTTCTCACTACTTTTATTTGTCCACACCTTCAACTAGTATACACATACATTGTTGTGTATTATTAAGATGACGTGATGTGACATAACGAGAAGGGAAGAAAATAAACAACATGAATAATAATAATAATAATCAGAAAAAAGGGTACTATATACCTCTGCTAAACGCTTAAAATGGGGGGGAGAGCGGATAAAGGCGTCTATTACGCCTAATTGAATGGTTGAACAGATGAGAATAATCGATACAAAATAGTCAATACAAGCAACAATATTAAAACTATACCTGTCACACAGTAAGTAGCTATCGTGGCTCGATGGTTTAGTGGACAACACTTTGGTGTTTGAACCGATCGATTCCAGGCACATAGCAGGTACATCCAGCTGACGAGTCCCAAATAGGACAAAACGCGCGTCATGCTGGATTCCACTGCTAGCCACTATCCATCATAAGTCAGTGTAGAGTATATTTCTTCTAAGGAAATAACGACAGGTGTGTGCATTCATACATCGAACGGAAAAAAAGATTACGTTTTATCACTTAACCTGAAATACTGTTGTATAATAAAGGATATATAACACTATCTGGTTGTCATACTGGATGGAATCCTTCGACTGTTGGCAAATGGCCTCTTATGTGGATGCCTCAATATTGCCCAAATATTCATGATACTATCTATAATTTACTTAGAAGCAAGGCACATCTCATGTTACTTGAGACCGGCTAGTTAGCTAGATATACCTGCACCCCAGTAAGTGATAGTATCACCACCGGGACTCGGACTGAGTACCCATCACTTCATATGCTAAAGTGTTCAATTTTAAACTTACATCATTATTTCATGTCATTTGTTTTACCTGAACCCAGTTGATACACAGGTAACAAGCAAATACTTCTAGGTTACGATTTGCCTAGAAACCGAAACTGATATTTAAAGACTGTAGGCGATATAACATTTAGAAACGATGCCAACGAAAAAGATGCATTTGCACTTCCCCACCATGATAATCGTCACATCATATTTGATTAAGTATTAGTTGTTACATTGTCTATTCTTCGCTCCTTATAATTTTCAATAAATTTTATTCACGCCATTATTGTTGTTCTTTCAGTCATTTGTCCGTAAAAGCGAATACATACAATGAAAGAATGCCAACCAAAGTAAAGTCTAAATCAACCTTATTGCCTAAACTAGGTCATAAAAAAGAACTAAAAACTGTTGTATAACCACTTATCAAATTAACCAAATAGGATGAAATGCTAATGATACTACTGGTTGGCTGTTTGAACTCATGACACACTTGGTTGAAAGTCATCGCCTTAAACCAATGAACCGTAGTTGGCTCTCTCATATAATTCCAAACGTATAAACTATTGCTTCGAATGTCATAGTGTTATACATTAGACTAACGAATTAGAATAACCTCCTCCGCATAACTAACTTTTTACAGTACTGAGAAATAGCAAGTTTTGATAATGAATAATAATAAAGATAGTACTGACCATGTATTGTCTACTATCACCCATGATATTTCCTGATTGTAGTGGACTGGATCATGCAAGAAACAGCTGTGAGGAGCGAGAAGAGTGGGATACGCTGAACCGTGGAAAAGAACCTAGAAGATTTAGATTTCGCCGATGACTTGTGTCTAATGTCACACAAACTTGAAGATCTACACGCGAAAAATAACAAGTTGACAGAAGAGGCAGGGCAGCGAAGACGGGACTTCAAGTGAACGTAGGGAAGACAGATGTGAAGAAGATTACCAACCAACACCACCACCACCAACAACAACAACAACAACAAGAAGCTCCAATTACCAGCAACGGGAGAAACTTAAAGGAAGTAGCCTCTTTCACCTATCTAGGCAGCACTGTTTCAACTACAGGCGGTACAGGCACAGATGAGGACGTGAAAGCCAGCCAGGATCGGAAAAATAGCAAAACAGGCGTTCATTACCCTGAAACCAGTGTGCAGATTTTCTGCACTCAGCACAAAGCGTGAACAACATCCGCATTTTCAACACCAACGTCAAATCACTGCTTCTATATGGCTCAGGGACTTGGAGCGTTACGAAAAGCATTTCCAACAAATTACAGACATTCATCGACAACTGTTTACGTGGCTCGTTACTGACGATCAGATGGTCAGAAAGAATAAGCAACAAGGAACTGTGGCCTGGCAACGAGCTAACCAAGAACCTATCACTCAACAAATATGCACTGGAAGGAAGTGGAGGTGGATTGGACATACACTGAGAAGGCCGACTGGGGACATCACACACAGGCCAGTCCCTCAAGTGGGACCCAGATAGGAAGCGACGAGTTGGGCGTCCGAGGAGAGAGTGACGTGGAGGAGATGGTGTGAGGAAGAAATGAGAGCTTGTGGGCAGTCGTGGCGACAGGAACAGAATGGAATGGAGACGTGCTACTGAAGCCCTATGTTCCATTAAGAACCCAAGGGACAAATAATAATAATATAATAATATTGACCATGTATTGACATCAGTTGTAGGAGAACCATTGAAAAACCTACAGCTACTGGTTAACGCATTCGTTGTGAAACCTGAAAGTCGTGAGTTCGATACCTGGTGGGTTGAGGTCGTAGACCCTTATACTAAGACGACTCAAAATGCTTCTCTTCAGCTGATGTCAATCCATAGTGATGAATACTATCTTAAAAATAAAAATCCCCATATATATAATACTTACATTAATGACACGATCAGGTGTCATTCCTTGTCCATTCACAATATCCACAGGAGATTTCAAGTTATCTTCGATGAATTTGACAAATGCCTCAACAGTTCGTTGATCACGATACTCACGTTTCAAAATTTTACCATATTTAGAAACTTTCACTGTTGGATATTTACGAATATTTTCTTTACTGCATAAATTTTCTAAAAGAATTGAATTTATGCGAACAAATTTATTTTTGTTTGAATGTTTAAATGAAAAAGGCGGTAAAATAGAAAATGTATCAGGTTGTTTCCTTTTTTACAATTACATCAATGTCGACGTTACCTTACTGCTAAAAGAATCAAACAATTTTGACCTACTTCAATCATTTTGATATGACTGTTGGAATCGGTGATTATTCACTAGTAATAATAATAATAATAGATAATCACTTTACTCCAAACAATACTTCTGACCCAGGATACAATTTTCAGTGTTCCAATTTGGGGGTTTGTGGGGATTTATTAATTGACTTCAGGTTGCTATTCATCACAGACTTACATCAGTTAGAGAAATGTTGGAAACCTAGGAGCACTGGACAGTCAGCTGGTTCGTCCTAGTATGGGACTCCTCGGCAGTGTGTACCCACGACCCCACTTAGCCGGGGGTCGAACCCAGACCTTCAGGTTCCCCAGTCAACACATTACCAGAGTCAATGGGTCGGAATCCAATGGTCCATATTTCCTACTTCTGTCAGTTTACAATATAGTGTGATCTCTATCCAATGCCGTCGTTGAGTACCTGTCCTCATGTTCAACTTGGTAAGCCCCACGGGTCGCGACTTCTCGTTAGAACTTCAGGAATCTCTTCTCGAAGCGATTCACCAATGAGCACTAAAATTACTAAATTTGGAGGTTGATGAAGATTTATTGATTGATTCCAGGCTGGTCCTGGGTCCGATCCCTGATGTGGTGGGGTCATGGGTGAGCACTATTGAGGAGTCCCATACTAGGACGAAACAGCCAGCTGTTCAGTGCTCCTAAGTTTCCAATCTTTCTCAAACTGATGTTAGTTAGCCCATGATGAATACCAACCTGAAATTTAATATCCCAGTATAATATTTTCAAAGGACATAATTACATCTAAATAATGTTGATAATAATAATAATAGTAGTAGTGTGGTGAGCAATACATTCGTGTTATCACCTAGTTTGTCGGTGTGTTGTCGCAGATCCAGGTAACTTCCTATCATAGTTACATGATGTATACTTTAATGGTAGTCAAATTTCTCAGATATCTGAAATATGAAGTGACGAATCATTCCTTTAGCATGTGTTAGCCGTTGACATAATGAACAAAGATTTTGTGATCACTCTCCCCCATCGACCGAGAAGCTTAGCTATATCAGATTTTAGAACTGTCATCACTCCTTGTTCCACCCTATAGTGTGATTGAGTCAGTGTATGTACAGTGATAATCGAGTTTTTCTCTAAACTGCTTATCTTGGTAGAGTTGACCAATCTGACTGACCCAAATTAGCTGTTTTGGTCGATATGTTTGACCCGACAATCATTACATGGTATTCGATAGGTTAGGTTTTTTGTTTAATTGGTTCTACTGGGTCTTTTAGCATATAAAGTTTCCCTTTGAGCGAGTCTGTAGGTTTAAATATCACTTTAATCCCAAGATTGTTAAGAATTCTACTTAGAACTTCCTATATGGCTTTTCTATACGGCAACACTATGTAAAGGATTTGAATCCCCTCTTAGGGATGCTGAAGTTACCCCTAACACTACCACTCTTTCTCTTATCAGCCCTTATAAAATTTTCAATAAATTCCAGAGGATAGTTGTTAATTAGTAATCTTCTCCTTGATGTGTTCCAGTTCCTTATTGAGGTTATCCAACTTACTAGTCAGACGACTCAAAGATCGATTGCTGAGACACTTTATCAAGCCCACCTTAACAGATATGGAGTGAGATTATGTGAAATCCAAGTGTCTATTCGAATGTGTTGGTTTTCTATGCAGACTAGTATCTAATCTTCCATCTTCTCACCTCTTGATTTTATAAGATGCGCGTTTCATCCAAGTGCATCCGGTTGACCAGTCTCAGTTAGGACTAAAACCCGCATTTTGGATCCTACTGCTAGCCACTAATCATCATTAGTATGAAAGTCGAAAATACCGGCAATACTGAGAGATCCACACAACAGCCCATATACCAACAGTAGCCAACCGATTTGGTTCATTCAACAGTGGAGATTTATAGCTTACAAACCGTTTAACTAGTATTTCAATCTATGTATGTTAACCGAAAAAAAACCTTCAGCATAAAAAGAAAATGTAGGTTCCTCAATTCCAAACACATTGTGAAGCGAACAGCTAGAAACCTGTCGATGATGTGAAATGCTAAATACTAGAAACTCAATAGTTTAGTATGAAAACACCCATAGTAGCAAAAGAAAAGTTGCGACTATACTACATAGCCATTAGCATTTAAAAGTGAGTTTACAGGTTATGACATGAAACTGAAGAATCTGTACATCTATCCATGTCAAAGTAGAATATTTACTGTCGCCAAAAAATTTTTTATTTATCTTCTGAAATGTATACCTATCTACGATAGGAACTGTATAGTTTCAAGTCATAAAGTTGATAATATTTTGGCAGTTGTAAGTCCCCCGTTGCCATACAGGGTCAAATTGATCGACCTCTTCTGACAGATGGGCCTCTATGCGGATGCCTCGACATTATCCGGATAATCATTATATTTTGTAGTCTACTTGGTGCCTGGTAGCGGCATCTAGGAGACTAGTTCGTCAGCTAGGTGGACCTGCATCTCAATGAATGATGGTGTCCTCACTGAGAGTCGAACCCAGTACTTATCACGTTAAAGGTCAAAGCGTTGTCCACTAGTCCACTAGAGCATGAAAGCCACCTAGTGAGCAAAGTGTATTAGTTTTTGTCCATTCACACTGAAATTTCCCTTTGGTATACATTTATGCTCCATCCTAAAGATTGAAAGCGAATGACCTTTTTACACACTTGCGTAACAGGCTACCGTCCGACAGACATTTAATACGTAGGCATAGCCAGTGTGAGTACGATCGAATGGTGGTAACATATCACGAATACAAATGGCAGATGGGTAAAACTATTGGTGATTGAGGTGAAATGAGAATCAAGTCAGCAGTCTGACCTCCTAGCTCAGTTACTAGAGCAGACCAGAAACCCACGGCTTCATGTATTTCTGACTACTTTCAACTGAACAGATAAGCGAATTCTTGAGGTGAATGGACCAGAGAGGCAGTAGTGAACAGACATAGCTATAGTCATCCACACTATTGAAGAAAATAAGACATATATTTAGAGATAAAGCTGATCTTCATTATCGTCGCCATCATCATCAACATCAACAGTAGCGTCATTTTGTCAAGAACATATCACGACTACACTAAGTTAAAAGCATGACATTTCCCATTCGCTGAAATTCAACAAGATAAACTCGCCTATCACATAAAAATTATTGACGAAGAAATATAACTAAATTAGTAAAACACAACTCAACTCGATATATGTTTTCCCATCCATACTACGACTTTATGAACCATACATTGTGTGTGTATGTTTGTGTGATTGTGACACTGTCCAGATAGACAGATATATAAGTAAGTCTAACGAGTTTGACCCACGACGTATTGCTTAGAAGTTGAGTGTTTAACGCAATAAGTTTATGGGGATATCTGTACACTCGTGAAGAAATAGACATTCATGACAGGCACAAACTAGCTGAGTTAAACAATCCTGTTTGTTAATACGACAGATCAAAAAATAACCCTGTACCCTAACAGGAAGCATGACCTTCGAAACTGAACGCATTCAGCAGAAATCTGAGTATGTTTGGCATGCGTCACGCATCTGACAAGTGTACGATGACGTTTGAGGACTCCTCTGCAAACACTCTCAGTTTAACGAAAGGAAGTGAAGTGGGTGAATGTGTTCATCACTACACTTACTTCGGCAGATGCATCAGCGCGTTCGGCATTTGTCAACTTGCATCATCAGCAGTACCAACTGGCGAGATATCCATCTATCTATCTATCAAACGATGACTAAATTGCACTACAGTTCATTCTGTCCTGTTATACGATTGCTAGACATCATCGTTAAGAGTAGAAGACATGAAGCGGTTACCGGTTTCTGATCACAGATCTCTTTGTCCCACTGCTCACATTCCGTGGAATCAACATGTTAACAATCTCGAGGTTAGGCTAAGGTACTAGGCAAGACAAGGACACACACCCAACCATCATCTACTTCAAAGTGAAAATACTCAGAGAAGTTGGAGCGAGGCTAACAGTGCTGAAACCAAGACGTGGTGCCAATCCACAAAGTCTCTAATTGTTGATGTAATCTGTATAGGAGGGTATCGACTACTCGACGACTGATGCCTTAGAGATGATAGGAATGAATGGTTGAGGATTCTTGGTGATATGACTGAAAATCGGTCACAATGGTGTAGATGTTGATATTCTTCAGAAACACACTTCAGATTGTATATTCTATCACACAACTTTGTCTACTCTCGTGTCAGTCTTTTTCTATCCAGCCATTCTTTGTATACTATTGTGAGGTGTGGTGAATTGAGGTGGTGCACTCCTTTGTATGCGAAACATTACTGATAAGTTAACTGAGCAGAAAGGAAGGTAGGAAAGCATATATAAGGCCTAGGTTATACGGCAACCAATATGTTTTCAGAAATCTCTGAGACACCGAACTTTTATCCGTTAAAATAATAACAGAGACAGACAGACAGAGGCTATCCATCTACACCATTGTGGCCTACTACCAAGCTTTTCTAAACATTGATTCCACTACATCTTGAGGATCCCCAAGTGAAGCGTTTTTACATCTGACCACTCTATTCAAGGCAAATAACACTGCTACTTTAGAGCATAACTATGACATAATTAGTACACTCTCATATAATTGTGACTACTTCAAGGTCGTACTACCTAACCAAATTGTCTATCTAGTAATCAATAAAAGTTCATTTCTAAGAACCAAGTTCATTAATCATCCATTTAAAATAGTTATTTGTATACAATGATATATGATTAAGATGAAATAATTATAACCTAACTTGTAGATAACATCTAGTTAACAACGAATACATACATACTATAGGGGTTCATTGTTTTGCTTCAGCCAAACTAGTTCGTAATTATGATAATTTGGTTGATTGTGGCTAGCAGAAGAATCCAGGACGCACGTTTCGTCCTATATGGGACTCGTCAGCTGGATGTACCTGCAACACAGTGATGTTGTTCCCACTGAGACTTGAGCCTCGTACACATCGCTTCAAACGCCGAGGCGTTATCCACTATGCCACAAAGGAACGATAGCCACTTCTTGTACAACAGGTGATACTTATTACCACTTATTGACATACTTGTTATTCTCCGTTGTTGTTTTTTTGGATCGAATTGTTCAAACTTTATTGGCATATGGGCTCCTATGCGGATACCTCGATATTGCCTGAATCGTAATTACGATAATTTGGTTGGTTGTGGCTAGCAGAAGAATCCAGGACGTAAAAATTATCGTAATTAACATTCAGGCAGTATCGAGGCATCCGCATAGGAGCCAATATGCCGATAGATGTCGAACAATTCGATCCAACAAAACAACGGAGAATAATAAGTATGTCAATAAATAGTAATAGTTTATAATTGTTGTCTTTAAAAAACTCATAAGTTAAACAAATGATTATCGTAGTTTATTAGACTTTTATTATTGATACTGGGTGATAATTCAAGGTGAAATGCAAATCTCCGTCATGATTGGATTTGAACCAACAGCGGTCTTCAGGCTGATGACTTGAATTAAACTGAAATTAAGACAAATAGTTCTTGTAGTTGGTTAGCAGATCCATTGGGCCGGTAACCTGAAGGCTGGTGGTTCGAATCCCCTAACAGATCAGATTTTCATTTTAACTTTAAATATTATCACCCAGTGTATATATAATTAGTAGCCAGAGATCAGAACAAATTAAGTGTAAACAAAGCAAATGTTTAATTAACCAAAAGATTTATCAATGGTTATATAGCATGGATGGAATTTGTATGTGTACTCACAAGTAGTAATTTTAAAGAAAGACTGGTCTTTAGAGCAAAAAATCAAATTAACTGGTGCGTAGAAAAGTTTGTATAAATTCCACAGAAAATATTTTGTCAATTAGTTGAGATCATTAGAGACAGTTTCACACACACACACACACACAAGTCAGTCAGCCAAACTATACGTCTCTGTTTGACACTCAATACTGTACTTTTATATACCATTAAAATAATGACGATGAAGTACTTGTTCAATGAGGATTTGGTTTAGCAATTTAAGAGTAACACCTTAAGTCCACTATGAAATGAAAACAGTATAAAGTAAGACTGTGATGAACTAACTGTTAATATACTGTGCGAAAAGATAGATAGATACAGGGGATCGTCATTCCAGAGATATTGGTTGATATAAACTGACAGACAGACAGACAACATCAACGAAGAATCTTGCACACAAGTGCATCATCACAAAGTAGATAAAGTTGTGTGATAGAATATACAATCTGAAGTGTGTTTCTGAAGAATATCAACATCTACACCATTGTGACCGATTTTCAGTCATATCACCAAGAATCCTCAACCATTCATTCCTATCATCTCTAAGGCATCAGTCGTCGAGTAGTCGATACCCTCCTATACAGATTACATCAACAATTAGAGACTTTGTGGATTGGCACCACGTCTTGGTTTCAGCACTGTTAGCCTCGCTCCAACTTCTCTGAGTATTTTCACTTTGAAGTAGATGATGGTTGGGTGTGTGTCCTTGTCTTGCCTAGTACCTTAGCCTAACCTCGAGATTGTTAACATGTTGATTCCACGGAATGTGAGCAGTGGGACAAAGAGATCTGTGATCAGAAACCGGTAACCGCTTCATGTCTTCTACTCTTAACGATGATGTCTAGCAATCGTATAACAGGACAGAATGAACTGTAGTGCAATTTAGTCATCGTTTGATAGATAGATAGATGGATATCTCGCCAGTTGGTACTGCTGATGATGCAAGTTGACAAATGCCGAACGCGCTGATGCATCTGCCGAAGTAAGTGTAGTGATGAACACATTCACCCACTTCACTTCCTTTCGTTAAACTGAGAGTGTTTGCAGAGGAGTCCTCAAACGTCATCGTACACTTGTCAGATGCGTGACGCATGCCAAACATACTCAGATTTCTGCTGAATGCGTTCAGTTTCGAAGGTCATGCTTCCTGTTAGGGTACAGGGTTATTTTTTGATCTGTCGTATTAACAAACAGGATTGTTTAACTCAGCTAGTTTGTGCCTGTCATGAATGTCTATTTCTTCACGAGTGTACAGATATCCCCATAAACTTATTGCGTTAAACACTCAACTTCTAAGCAATACGTCGTGGGTCAAACTCGTTAGACTTACTTATATATCTGTCTATCTGGACAGTGTCACAATCACACAAACATACACACACAATGTATGGTTCATAAAGTCGTAGTATGGATGGGAAAACATATATCGAGTTGAGTTGTGTTTTACTAATTTAGTTATATTTCTTCGTCAATAATTTTTATGTGATAGGCGAGTTTATCTTGTAGAAAAAAGGAAGTAGCCTCTTTCACCTATCTAGGCAGCACTGTTTCAACTACAGGCGTTACAGGCACAGACGACGACGTCAAAGACAGGATCGGAAAAGCAAGACAGGCGTTCATTACCCTGAAACCAGTGTGCAGGTCTTCTGCACTCAGCACAAAGCATGAACAACATCCGCATTTTCAACACCAACGTCAAATCACTGCTTCTATATGGCTCAGGGACTTGGAGCGTTACGAAAAGCATTTCCAACAAATTACAGACATTCATCAACAACTGCCACCTACGCTGGCTCGTTACTGAAGATCAGATGGTCAGGAAGAATCAGTAACAAGGAACTGTGGCCTGGCAACGAGCTAACCAAGAACCTATCACTCAACAAATATGCACTGGAAAGAAGTGGAGGTGGATTGGGCATACACTGAGAAGGCCGACTGGGGACATCACGCATCAGGCCAGTCCCTCAAGTGGGACCCAGATAGGAAGCGACGAGTTGGGCGTCCGAGGAGAGGGTGACATGGAGGAGATGGTGTGAGGAAGAAATGAGAGCTTGTGGGCAGTCGTGGCTTCAGGTTCAAAAGATTGCAGAGAACAGAATGGAATGGAGACATGCTACTGAAGCCCTATGTTCCATTAGGAACCCAACGGATAAATAAACTTTATTCTACTGACTACTTGATGTAAAAACTACGCAAACTACGAAAAAGGAAACACTAATTCAGGGATAGAGAACACTAAGAATGGAACGAGCATCAAAAGAGAATAAAAGTTATGTAACACTTACGACTAGCTTCACAATCGATTGTAATAAGAGCAGCTTTACCATTCTATACAATAGGAAAAATGGAAAGAGAGAAAATAATTTGAATAAAGTTTGAAAATTAATATACCTACCTTTGTTAATTCAGTAATTTTCTCTGATGTTTGCTCAAAAATCGGTGCCAACATTTGACTGAAATGACACCATTCCGCTGAGAATTTTAATAGTGTTAAATCATATCCAGCTAATGTTAAAAATAAATTATTAAATTATACGAAGATATACTTACAGATTAATGAATTGAAATTCGAATCATTTGCAAGCAATACCACTGAGAAACAATAATTAACACCATTCTGTAAAATAAGAATCAATGAAAAGATTTACAATAACACAATATCAAGATATTTTTCCATTAAACCAATATTTTCTTAATTATTGAATCAAAATCAAACGTTATAATCACTTGTTGTACTAGTTGGTTGAAGGAAGAAGACCTACGATCTAGGTTTCGTGTCTATTGGTACTCGTCAGCAAGGAATACTTTTGTAATCCCACTGTTGCAATAAGCGACAATGATTCACCTCCTTCTGTAGGACTGAATTAGATATATCAATTCATCACTGAGGAACAACCTATTTCATGTTGTCTCCAAGGCTCCTAGCTTGACAGTGACGTTGCAGAGACGATCGATAGACTTCAGTCAGCAGTCAGGACGTAATTTTAGGTACGTCTGACTTGACTGGGGCTGACTTACTCTGCCTGGAGGTCATCTGGTTGACTTAGGTGAAGATGTTGACAAAATCCAGGGTCTTCTGAACTGAACAGCTTGGCAAGAAATCTGATTATGTTTAGCATGCGTTCTGCTCTCACCTGAGAAATGTAAGAGGATGCTCCAGGACTAGTGTGAAACGACTCCCAGCTTAGTGATAAGAAGTGAAGTGGTGGAATGTGTTGACCACTTCCCTTACTTGAGGAGTAGCAGTAGTCAAACCGGGGTGACTCTTGACGATATCTGAGCTCGGATACAGAAGGATCGTTAGGGATTTGTCAATTTGCATCATGTCTGGGGCTGACTGGAGAAATGTCCGACCATCTATTAAAGGACAAGGATATTGCACTGCAGTTCCTTCTTTTCTGCTATATGATTGTGAGACATAATCGTTAAAAGTAGAAGATATGAAGCGGTTACAGATTTTTAACTATAGGTGCCGTCATACTATTCGCTTGAGTATAGTGGAATCACCGTGTGAGCAATGTTGAGGTCAGGCAAAGAGTACTAGGCAAAACAAGTAAGTTGACTGATAAGGTTGTAAACCTTGGTCGGTTGAGATGGTTTCGACATGTGTTACAACACATGCCGAGTTCTCTGGGCAACCCCGACCCACAATATTGGAAGAAGTCAGGGAGATGTAAAGTACCTGACTGGAGTTCCCGAAACTATTGAAATCAGTGGTTTAAAACTCCTGGTGACATTGTTGAAAATCGGTCGCAGATGTATTCACTTCTTAACATCTTTTAAAGCTTAAATATTTCCATTAATATTTATCTTTGGATTGTATATTTTCTAACACAACTTTGTACACTTTGATACCTAACAACAATAAGTTGCGTTTGAGCATTTAGCCACAAGTCATACTTATTGTGTACGGAATAGTAATACTAGTTAGCCATTTTAACTTCGGTTGATGAAATGAGGTTTAAACCTGTGACTGATTAGTTGGAAGACAGCTACTGACTGAACCTAACCCTAACCATAGCACCACCTTAAACTAGTTCACATGATATACCTTAAATTGGATGAATGGTACAAATTAAATAATGAATTACACACTCTATGTTGACATTACATACATTACAATCAGACAAACTCTATAGCACTGCTATAGGGGAGAAATGAAATAAGAAACTTTCATGTTGATATTTATTAGTTTTAGGTAACTAGTTATGCTAGATGTGAAATATGTCAGTCAGTCAGTCAGTCAGTTCCACTGCTTACCTGGGATTTCAAACCATCGATTTCGTTTTGTTTTCAAACCCTAACCCTAACAAATAACAACTTAATGAATTGGTGTTATGCGTTGGTTTCACCATCCATAGCTTCATTCTGACCCAATACTATTCGGTAGACGGTGCACCAACTTCAGAACCACCTTGTGACTAAGTGATAATGCATTGGTCTTAAAACCTGAAGGTTTCAGGTTTAATCCTGTACATGGTTGTGGGTATGGATTACCAAGAGATTAAGTGTACCGAGAAAAACTATGACATCTGTGAACCTGGCAGCCTGTTTGGACTTGTGGGCTACTTCATTTTACCACAGGATATATTGCATCAAATTCCTTCTTTCTACATTGTTTTAATCATTCAGTTATTGTTATCCAATTGTATTATATGCTTTCGCACATTCATAAAACTGTTACCACCAATCGCTCTACAAATTGACAGGCAAATAAAGGAAAAGCACCATGGTGAATGGCAACGAACTTTCAAGCATATGACTATTCCGGAGATTAAAGAACCCAATTATCAACTTTGCAACAATAAATAATCTCTGATCAATAGTTTAAATTACAATGTACGTTGAAAATTCCTATTTAGACATTTCTAAACATAAAAAAGACTGATTGAGCGAAGAACTATATTTCTGCAGCTGAGGAGTCTCATACTAGGATGAAATAGCTGTCTTCGGTGCTACTAGGTTTTCGATAGTTCCCTAACTGATGTCCGTCCGTGATGAATACCACCTCTAAACTAAAATCCTCATTCATCTCAAACATAAATTGCAGTAAAGTGCTCATTAGTGAGTGACATGCTGCCAGATGGATATTTTGAAGTTCTAATGACAAGCCATGACCTGTGGGGTCAACCAGTTGGAAGGGAAACAGATCCCAACTGAAGGCCTTGGGTGACGGTCACGCTATATTGTGAAATGACAGAAGTTGGAAACTGTCGAATTTCTGAGCATCACCCATTATAGGTGAGCAAAGGACAAATTAGAAAAATAAAGAGCTCCATACTTGCACACTTAGTTGGTAGTGGACATCAAGTGGGTACTAGAAAAGCATTTAAAGTAATTATTCATCGTAAGCCAATTAACTTACCACATGGGAAAACACATTCGCTTACTTCACATAACAGAACCGATTGTAATCCACCTTTACAAACCCAACCTTTTTTAACAAGTTGATATTCATCATAGACTGACTGACATCAGCTGCATGAACATCAGATCATCATCATCATCATTATCAACATAGGACCAGGCATTACTGCGTAACGGTCCGAGTTGCCACACCTCATATCAGCACATCAAGTAAAAAGGTAGTGAGGTGAAGGATGAAGATAAGTGAATGCAGTCAAAAGAAATATAAAGTATGAGAAGAAAGGAAAGAGGAGTGACAAAATAGTGAGATTCGGTATAGCGTTGTTAAGATGAGGATAATGTGTGTATACATCTGCGCCACTGACTTCGGTTCTGAGCCATATCACCTAGGGTCTCCAACCACTGGTTCCTCTTGTCCCGTGGACCCCAACCACCTAGTCTGCATCGTCCTACATGGCTTAAACCAACAGTCAGAGACTTCATACATTGGTGCCATGTTTTAGTCTGGCCACCTCGGGCCTTTTTCCAGCCTGAACCCACCTCAGCCAACATTGTGTGACGAGGCAATCGGTGACTAGGCATACGTAGTACGTGTCCCAACCATCTCAGTCGATGAAGGTTCACAACCTCGTCGACTGACTTACCTCTTCTCCCTAAAACTCTACACCTAACTTCTGCATTACTCACATGGTGACACCACGGAATACGTCCTATACTACGAAGGCAACGGTGGTCAAATACCTGTAACCTTCTCATGTCTTCCACTTTCAATGGCCATGTTTCACAGCCATACAGTAGAACAGAGCGGACTGCTGTGCAGTACACGCGACCCTTAATAGACAAACGAATATCACGGCGGCGCCATAGGTGGCGCAAATTGGCAAAAGCCAATCGAGCCTTTTGTATCCGTGCAGAAATCTCATCGGCAACTAACCCACCGGAGTTGATCCTACTTCCCAGGTAAGTGAAGTGGTCAACACACTCAACCACTTCACTCTCTATTGTTAACCGCGGTACCGCTGAAGACCAGTCCTGGAGCAAAAATTTGCATTTGGGTGGTGAAAATCGCATCCCAAACATTCTCAAATTCCCACTCAAAGTGTTCAGAAGACTCTGCATCTTGTCAGCGTCTTCACCTAACAGGACTATGTCATCTGCATATTCTAGATCTAAGGAAAATTCACCTGTGATCCGGTCAACGTCTTTGTAATTAGGTGACGAGAGGGAAACCTCCATAAGAATATCTATGATAAAATTAAATAAGAATGGGGATAGTGGGCATCCTTGACGGACACCACTTGATGAGTATAGCTCCCTGGACAACTCACCATAGGCTCTAACATGCCCACAAGTGTTCGAGTAGAGAGCTTTCAATAAGGTGATGTACTTACTAGGCACGCCTTTCAGTGACAGACACTGCCATAAGACTTCTCGATCAACGGAGTCAAATGCCGCCTTCAGGTCGAGAAATACAGCTATTGTCGGGCGTCTGTAAGCATGCCTATGTTCCAGGACCTGGCGCAGTGTGAATATTTGGTCGATACATCCACGGCCAGGTCTAAAGCCTGCCTGGTTTTCTCGGGCTTGCTGTTCCCGAGCTCCACTCAGGCGTCGGAGAATTATAGAACTTAGGATCTTAGACACTATGTTTGTCAGGCTGATTCCTCTGTGGTTATCACAAGAGGACTTCTCGCCTTTCTTGAAGACTGGGATGATCAGTGACTTAGACCAGTCGGAGGGGATCGTATTTGATTCCCATATACTGGCTAACACTTCCGTTAGCCTGACTAAGAGAACTCTACCACCATTCTTGTATACCTCAGCAGGTAGTCCGTCTGGTCCTGCTGCCCTTCCCCGTTTCAGGCTACCTACCGCTTTCTCAACTTCTTCTAGTGTTGGGGGACCTGTCTCTATGTCCCATTCAGGGTCCGACTGGATAGCGGGCAGCGCAATGGTGGCTGGAGGCCAGTTAAACTGTTCCTCAAAGTGTTCTGCCCATCGTCCCAGTCGCCTTCCCTGCGAGTGAATCGCCGATCCGTCCTTCTCCGCTATAACCTCACTAACTGTTGTTGACCATTTCCCCCCAGTCTCCTTAATAAGTCTAAATAACTGTCTACTGTTACCGATCGCCGCTGCCTTTTCCATCTCTTTAGCCTTTGCTGCCCACCACTGTTCACGATCGTTGCGCAGACTTTTCGTCAGTTTATTTTTAAGTTGCGCTCGCTCTTCATTGTACTCAGAGCCTGCAGG